AGCAAGAGTAAGAAGCAGTTGCCTAACGAGTATCAATTTCATTCCAGGATGCGGGAGGGTCAATAAAACGACCCATGAGGCATTCCAGTAAAATAGGTATCCTTGCAATAGCAAAACGAGGCGCCGTGTTGACGTTGGTTAAGCGTAGAACCAAGACGGCAGGCAAGCTTTTAAGTCTTTTAACTAATGTTTGGAGGGAACAGCGCAGAAAGGACTAACTAACCTGTGAATATTTCGTTGTGCATCATTATCGAGGCGTCAAATTGTTCATGAGCACAGAAAATAAACAAATGATTGAATGCATGAATGAATTACGCTGAACCATTTGCTTGGCAACAAGGAACGAGGGATAAGCATATCGATTGTCACTTGCTGCTGCCGTTTCAGCGCAACGCTTTTTTTTTAAGTTAAGGAACGAAAGGAACATGTACGCAAGATAAGCGCAAAACACTTATATTATTTTAAGGCACGACGGGACAACTACAAGGGTCGCACCCACGGTGATCGCACCATCTCGTCGATGTCAGCAAAGAAGTCCGTCAGTGCATGCCGAACTAAGATTAACATGACACGCGAAGTGCCATTAGCACTCGAACTGTAGTGTGTACCGGCTTTCGCAACCGCAAACCTATATTTCAACCTCCCGACAACAGGAGAGAGTGACGGAGTCCGCGTCGAACACTTTTCTAGTTGCGTGAGACGACATTCTTTGCACGCGATCCGCGCGAGCCCTTCCCGACTAGCATCATAGCGTCGCGATAGGTGTTTCTTGAGGCGGCGATCGCGTCATACACGATAACAAGCAGACATCTACGCATTTATTTCATTTTACACGTTACATGTCAACCGGCACTGCGGAATGATCACCCTCCTGACCGCCATGTTGTCGCGATCAGTGCGCCTCCTATATTCGCTGCAACTTAAGAATATTTAACTATAACGAAATAGGGACATGGAGGACAAGCGGAGAGCGCAGGCTTTCGCGCTTTTATTACTTGCTCAACTATAATTTGCGTTCCCGTTTACTCCCTCGCCAATTTCTCCCCTTCCAATTATTCCCCTTTTCATTTCTCACCTTCCCGTTTGCGCACTACCTACTTTCCGGTTCCTGTTCATTACCTACCCATTCCTACCGTTCCCGTTTATGCCTTCGTCTGTTTCTCGCTTCCCGTTCCATTTCTCGCAAATTTCTTCCCTTCTCACTTACTCAATTTTTTTCTTCTCCTCTCCCTGCGTGCACTCTTAATATGTTTCCAGTTCCAGTTTACTCGCTCCCGAATCCTTCCGTTTCCCGGTTACTTCCTCGTCTATTGTTTCCTTCCCGTTTACTCCCTCACCAATTACTCCCGCTACGTTCACTCCCTTCCCGTTCCTCCGACTTTCATATCTCCCGTTCCCTCTTACTCCCCCAGTCAGCCTTCCTTCCCTCGCCGCTCCCTTCGCCGATGAGCAGCGCGGCAATCGCGATACAGAAGGCCCTCCCTTCCCCTCTTCGCTACCTAAGCGGTGTATCAATGCGTGATGAGGAGCTCTTCTGGTGGCCCCGAAGAAACGAAAACTTGCCTTCCGGACATCGTTTGGCCCCGGGGCAGCTGCAGCCTTCCTCCTCCTCGCTCTCTCTGGTCTCATTCCCGATGCTATACACACCGCTTCCTTCCGCTCGCTGGCCCCTCGACCGCCGTGGGAAGTCGATATCCACCGGGGCGGTATCGCAAATGGCCGCGCGATCCTCAAATACCAGATCAGCCCCGGGGGTGAGTGCGATAGCCGATGCGAGCGGAGCCTCCTGGAAGACAAGGCCTGCTCGCATCCCTCCTCCCAAACGTCATCACAGGTGAATCTACGCAGCGCCGCCTACCTCGCGTCAGGGTCGCTGACAGCGCGTCTTGCAGCTTCTCACAACGAACGCTACTTCAGCACGCGGCAGACGCCAGGACGCACGTGTCTTGCGCTTTCCGGCGGATCTCGTAGAGCTTTATTGTATTTGCCGCTAAGGGCGGGTCGGAGATCCACTTGTAATGACGTCATGCGCAGGCCTTGTCTTCTAGGTGGTATTGGTGGAGCGCGTCGAACGAGCGTTGTGGACGAAGTCTTTGCGTCACTGAATGTTTTTGCGCCTCTTGCCTTCGTTTCGACGCGGAATGCAAGTTTGTGAGGTTCGTCCCTTGCTCTGCCATAATGCATTTTGCGAAAAGAGCACCATAGGTTCTCTTCTTTTGTGATTTGCTTTCCTTTCGTGCATTTGTTTTAGTTTTATAAAAACTGTAGGCGTTATTAGCGTGAGTTTTATTGGCTGCTATGACATTTTTACGATCCTCCAATAATTTTATCGCAAGAATGCCCCTGAAGTTGACGGATCGTTAAATTGCCGCGGTATTCAATACAAAATTGCTAATGGGCGTTCTTGAGGTTGAGCCTGCTTATGTCTAGCCCTTAGGAAGAGCACATGATTGGCTGATATCTAAGTCAGAACATGATACGCAGCGATATTTCCAAGAACTGCCGCTGAAAAGTCGTTCCACTTACGTGACCAGGTCTTCGTTTTATTAATAAATTAACTAAAACCAACACGACGACTTGAGTGAACAATTTTACTTAACTATAAAGAGTTTCTTTTTTAATAATTAGTCGAACTGGAGCGGCTAAACGAAAGTAAAATAATGGGATCATATAAAAATGCAGATTGTAGAAAGTATTACGAATAAAATGGCGAAATAAAAATGATACATTTTCGAGAGAGTCAGGCACACCGAGAGATGTCTAGGAAAGAACTGGAGCGTCCGGGCGAAAAGGGACATTGTCAAAGCAGGCGTTTCAAAGCACGTCGCGGGAAATCAATAAATTAGCGATGCGTGCCAAACGGCCTGTCGATACCGGCCGACGACCTCATCATCAGCACGACGCGTTTCCTTCTTTGAAGCCTCTCAGAAAGGGAGCGGTCACCTGCAAATGACCCCAAAAGTGTTGAAACTTGGAACGTCACAACCGTCATCTCGGAAGCGTATTTTTATGTGGATTGTCGTTAGATACGCGACCTCTCATATGCTTCCTGACATGTCCGTTCCTGTAGGCCCCTGACTTGATAAGTAGGGAAAGAGCAATGCGAAGTACCGCATTCACTCGAGTAATAGCCGCACTATTTATGAACAAGGCCCTTGCGTCTGCTTTACCGTAGAGTACATATACAGCCAATCATCGCGTTGCGCAAAAATAGCATAGCGGATAACTACACTCTAAAAAAGTCGTGCGCGTCTTCTTCCACGCACAACACTCGAAGGGCCAATCAGCGCAACTTACGGAGGCAGCTCAGCGAATTACAATGCCGAAACATATGTTTCGGCATTGTAATTCGCAAAACGCAGTCTGACTTGGGACATTAAGCAATATAAGCGTGACGTTTTGCATTGCGTAATGTCACAGCTCAGACTGCGGTTTTTGGTCTAAACATATGTTTCGGCATCGTCATTCGCTGAACTGCCTCCGTAAGTTGCGGTGATTGGCTCTCCGAGGGTTGTGCGGGAAAGTCGACGCACGGACATTTTTTAGAGTGTAGATCGAGAACACAATTCACCATACAAATGCAATCTTCACACATGGTATCTTCGCGCGAAGACGTTATCTCTGTCCTGTAAGCCGCTGGAATCATGCTTCTGATCGCGGTGATTGGCAAGCCGCGTGCTCCGCGGTAAAGCAAACCCTCAGGTGTTCCTCATAAACAGTGCGGCTATTACTCGAGTAAATACGGCATGTATAAAAACTAGGTATCGAGAAAGTGACGGGTCAATATTCCCGACCATGTGGCCGACGCTACGACGCTGTTTCAAAAGGCAACATTGTTATTGCAGGAGTTCGGGCTACGGCTATTTCCGGCATTTTTAGAACTAGCTATCGCTCACCAATATAATGGTCGCTTCACTGCGTGCTTCATGTATCCAAGCGATCTGTATTTATCTAGGCTTGTGGCGGGCGGGTCTCGCGGATCGTTGCTTGCAGTTTGCTAATGGTAAATTTCGGCAGGTTGCGAGGCTGGAGCCCGCATCATAATTTATATTTTGAGCTAGCTCGATGTTACCGGCGAACATTGCTTGGAAGACGTCATCGAGGGGGCCGAGGCAATCAAAACAAAACGGCGCACAGTAATGATTGGAAGTGAAGTCAAACAAAGTTCCACTTCAAGATAGGCCTAATGACGTATATTCCCGTATGTAGTCGATCGATTGCGTTTTATACTTCCACTTTGCCGTAATGACGGATGTCTAGGCTTGTCGCTTTTGTTTGCGATGCAATAATGTTCCGCAGTAAAATGAGCGAGCATGCTTGTCTTGCATCAAAAAGAAATAAACAGAACACTCTGACCTGATATTAAGTATCGTATCAGCTGGAGGTATGCCGATATTGTTTTATATATCGCGGACACAATGTTTTTAATAGCTGGGCCATAACTCTTTTTCAGTGATCCTGAGCAGATATATACCCTTCTTTCCACCGTCAGAATGAAGCCTATAAAATAACAAAAACACCGATACTTTCTACAATTAATTACACGCTGATAAATCTACAAAATTAATAAAAATCCGCTCGGAGCTTCGATGGCTGACCCTCATTAATCAATTTCCCAGCGCTGTTTTCGATTACATAAGCACGCTACATTGTTTAACGGTAACGTGTGCAAAATAGAATAGCCTCTAAATATATCCGTTGAGATCCGAAGCTAACCTAATAACTAATACTGTTATCTCTTATACACTGCAATAACAAGGATACAAACGCCAGAGTTCTCTATTTTCATTACTTTGCTCTCTCGTGATTAGTGTGGTTTGGATAATTCACCGCATCGCACCAATCAAAGGCGGTGGAGTTGGTCGGGTGTGTCGTGCCTACGAAATAAAGTTTTGAAATGCCAGCTCAGTTTGAACTGGTAGCAATTTATTGTCAATGTCACAATTAACTCCCTCTAGCTTAGATATGCTGTGCGGTCAAGGTAGTCGGACGGTACTCACCAGTAATGATGACCTTTCCCGCGGTGGCGCTCATGTCGCTAGACCCGGTCAAGATGTTGTGGACTTGGCAACGGTAGCCTCGGAAGGTGTCCGCGGTCTTCACTTCTCGGATGATCAGCTCTCCCGTGGGCAGCATCAGGTACCGGTTCTCGATCCCTGTCACGTGACAGAAACACAAGATTGACTCAAATTTGAAGGCTGTACAAAAGGTGTGCCATATACCACATCGGTGTGCACGATCGCAAGTAAGCTCAAGGTCAATATGAGCCCAAACATACGGGCGAGCTTATCTTGAGGCACACATCAAACCCCAAAGCTGCCTTGGTATATCAAATATAAAAGATAGAGGTCGGATATTTGGTAAATTATTAGAAAACTGATAGCGCCAAGGACACGAAAACGGGCCAGTGCGTGGCGATCTCCTTCTTATGTCTGTAATTTTGGCGTTTTCGGTATTGTAGTGTTTACGAGGTATGTACAAAAAGAGCTAATAGCCTAAAATATGCAGATGAATTTACCGTACTTTACCGAATGAAACCAAATTTGTGCCCATTACCTGAAAAATGTAATGGATTACAATTAAATATTACCGAGCCTCAAATGTAATGGATTACCGTTACAAATTACGTTCCCTGAAAAGTACCGGATTACGTTACTTGTTACGTTACCAACTACATTCAAGTTAATTTTCCCGTCCACTTCAGCAACACTACTATTCGTTTCTCGTACGCTAGCATTATGGTAGTCCTCGTAAAAATAAAATATTGCATTTAAAAGAATGAACGTAGGTGCACTCTGTCCACCTGCAAGCTGACAAGACAGCGAAAGCTGCAACCACACCCACCATCCCGCTAGCTTACAGCGACCGGAAATGATGCCTGGAATTCTGCAGACAAAGCTAGCGGTGCGCATGCTCAATAGCAGCTTCCACACTCGCTATGAGATCAAGAAGGCAACGCCTACTCGGCGTTCTCTTCTTGATTTTTGTTTTTCGCGTATTTGTATGGGCCTTGCACGTTTCTCTAGTGGTTCTAATAACCGGTCTTAAAAAATATTGTGTTTCCTTTCCGGTTATTCTTCTGTTCACGATGTTTCATATTTGGCAAAACTTGCTATTTTTATGCTGCTGAATTACCTGCTCATATTGCTCCAGTTTCTGTATTATGTTCGTATTTTTAAAAGCACCGACTAATTAAAGTAATCCGTTGCAATATTTCGTAACGAAATTACTTTACAAATTACTGCCATAAATAAAGCAACGTGGTATTTACAAAATGACTTGAAAAAGTAACGGAAAAACGTCTCAAGTCTGAATGGAACAAAGCTTACGGAGCCACAGAAGGAACTTTTTCTTGCCAAAGCCAGGATTTGAACTTTGGGTCCCCAATATACCGACGGGTTTGCTATATACGAAAAAAGAGAGAAAAGAACTAGGGTATGTACAAAAAAAAAAAAACAAAAAAAAACAGGCATATACGTGTAAAGATTATCAGATGTGTACGAAGAAGTCCCAGCATATATAAATATTTCGGTTATATAATCACGGCTAAAAATAGTGGCTCAATCATCCAATTTTGCTTTTTCTGTGAATCTCTCTGTAGTAAGTCTTGGACACTGCAAGCATTTTACAAGTTGCGATCGACCGTTCACGCTTGTGGTACCTGGATGTTTGACAAAACCTGAGTGCTAAATTTACACGGCTATGAGCTCACACTGTATCTTAAATTCTCTCTGTAAGTAAGCGAGTGAGACCAAGGGAAATTTATTTCTTGTTCACAGGGAGACTTTTCGCAACTGTGTGTGGTATATTATAGCTGACGTGGTAAGGGCAATTGTCATCTTTACAAAATATGGGAACGAGTTTTGAGTAGCAAATTGTCATTGACCTCGCACTCTAAAGCTATGGATAACACACCTGGTTATTTCTTGTATTTATAAGACACCGGAGGCATTTGGTGCATTTAATAGAGTGTTCACATTCCTCATTTAACGAAGTAATAAACAAAAGAACAACGCTCTGTAACGCAGAAACTTAGCTATCATGTTAATACAAAAACATATACTATGTTTTCAGCGAATATAGATCGGCCAAATATCGCTGATAAACAAAACATGTTGCTGACTGTTTTATAACGAAAAGACGCGGAATTTGCCAGCCATTTAACAGTTTACCTTTCTAGCTATTGCCTAGCTATCCAAGCTCCCATAAAATTTTTGTAGCATTGAAAATATGTGTCTAAGTTTGATAGGATGAGTAATCCGTGAGCGTCGCTTTGTCTATTTCTAATCTATTTGAAGCGTTCTTTTATTTCACTTGAATCGCGAGGCTGTGTTGCCAATCTGTTTGTGTCTGTCTCTTTGTTTTTTGTTATCGCTGGATATTGAATTGCATGTCGATGTTTTGCTAATTATTTGTTAATTCTATTTCTAAGTTTCATTTTTAAAGCTGGAAATCGAACTGCATACAAATTTTGTTATTTTGCTTGCGCTGCACAAATTTCAGGATGCTTGCCGCGCCGTCAAGCTGCCTCTGTGACCAATTTTTCCCCAGGTTTCAACTATTATATACTTAATACCTAAAGCAAATAAATCATTTTAAATCGAATCAAACAAAAATATTTATTACTCTAGCCTATCTAAATTGCCAAACGTTTAGTGATAAAAAAACATATTGGAGATCGATAGATCACATAAATTAAGAGTCGTCATAAAAAAAATAATGTAAACAAAAAAGCAGCCAAGAAGCAGCGTCAACAAACAAGAATACTTTACGATACGGAAACTCTGGCGCCGGCTCTCAATGTGCTGCATCTCCGACAGGCGTCGCGGGAAAAGCGCAAAATCGGAGCTAAAATGGGTTAAGCGGAATTATATTTGCTCGAAGAAGGAAGAAATGCGCCCGCTTTAAAACCGAGTTTGCTTTATTTTACGTTTATCGTTTCGAAAGCGGCCCTCAGTGCGGAATCACAGAAAGCGGAGATGCGCTCCAAGCGAACCGCAACGAAGGCCCGGGAAGAGAAAGCGGTGGGGTTCGCGGGAGAATTCGGGAGAAATCGGGAGGAGTTCTCGGGAAGAGAAACGCTTTTTAAACGCCTCGCTTCCTTCCGGCGGCCATTTTGCCACTTCCGAGGCGCTCCGAGCGTAGCAGGGCAGCTAGTTTCCGTACGGGAAAAAAAACAAAAGTAACGCTGAAGCTCAAATCCAAATTTTTCGTCGGTTGTTCCTAAAATTACATTGCAACCTCCACGGTGCGAAAAAAAAGAAACAACCTAACCTCGAAGTAAAGGGGAAAAAAAGCGTGATGTCGTGGTAACAAATTACGCGAGATTCTGCAAGGGCTAAAAAATACATAGTATAAAAAAGTTCGTTCATTTTTTGCGTTGTAAGCACTCGGACATGTACTTGTGTTAAGTTCCACCGTCTGCGATATCGTAGGCTACCTTGCCGACCGCTCCCTTTAATGAGATACTGCAATAAAACAATAACTCTTTTTGTAATAACCAGATGACACACGACTATCAAACATTATTTTACCACAAAAAAATGTTTCGCAATATTTACGTTGCTAGACGCACTTAAGGTGCAGAAGGTGGAGGGCGCTAAGCCCCGCCCCGTGCCTATAAGCTACTTACATCTTTCATTGGCTGGACAAATGATTGTTGTGCAAAAGGTTCGCTGTAGGTATCGATCTCCGTGCCGTTATAACGTATTATTCGACTTTAATTTTTATGTTTGAGAAGCAAATATTCAAGATCGAGTCACAAACTGTTTCCAAATGTATTCTGAGATGCGTCTCCCGCATTGGTTTGAAACGTCAACAAACATGGCTGTCGGCGTTTGCAGAGTGATGAAGGGGCGTAGCTCGCCGGACTCGTCAAGTGTTATGAGTTTGAGTCGTTCTGATTTAACAAAGACGTTTAAAGAAAGATCTCCTCAACTAACGCAGTTTGCAGCAAACAACTGCCGCAAGTACGCGCCTTCGAAAGTGCTTTATGAATGCTTGTTTTCGTAGCAGGGATTGTCTACCTTAGCGTCACAGATCAACTCGTTTGATCGATCTGGCTCGATTTCTTTCTTTGCGCGTGTTGATGCTGAATGAATATGTTAGCCCTCGCAAATGCGGCCCTGCTGCTTTGTGCATCGTGCAACCGTCGTGATCGCGACCATGGTTTCCATACCGAGAAGATACCTACGGAGGTGAGATTTTGCGAACGATTTGACTGGAGGCAATCGGGCGTTCGACTCGCATCTTGTTTGTCTAGGTACGTTCCCGTCATTCCGCCTCGTAAGGCATATACCGCATGTTTCGGGCTACAGCCAGCATCTGGTGTATAGGCCGCAGAAGCCAATTTCGGCCGAAAAAATGATAGTTTTTGCTCAGATAGTCCGCAGCCGGTGCATTGTCCGCATGCCGTGCACAGTCAGTATCTGGTGCTTAGTCGACACGAAACTCTTCTCACACAGTGCACACCTTGACAAATGTCTGCTTTCTTAGCTCACCGAGAAACTTGCATTATAGATAAATTATCGTTCACATACACTTTCATTCACAAAATTCGTCACGTCTCGTCATCGATTTTGAAAAACAAAATTCCTGCATAGGCCGCTCGCGTAGTTAGTCCACACACCGCCTAAACTTTTTAACTTTTAAACATGTATAGTCCGCCCACTATAGCCCGAAAAATACGGTAGGTCTCAAGTTTTGCAGTGCACCTGACCTGCTAAAGCGAATATTTTTGGGTCTCGTTTTAATTCTGCGTCCAGATGCTCCCTCGCCTTGCTCGCTGATACTATGTGAAAAAAAGAAATAATAACAAGAACAGGCATGTTGCGAGGACTGCATATTTATTTTTGCTGAATATTTTAGTTCTCGGCCGCTTATTGCCGCACATTGATTGACGTTGACAGACGCTTGTATGGTACTGCCGCTCGTGCTTGATGGAACGGTAGAACGCCGTTTTCACAATCGCGCCTTCTGAGCGTTGCGGAAGTTTTTAGACGGGGGCGAAATATTAAACGGACGAAGGCGAAAATGGACGCCGACGCGGAGCTTTCGTGCTTGCGTCTCATGGGCATTGCAGACGACGGTAGACGGTGAGGAAATAGCAGACGACCTCGGAGGCTGCCGCGTATCTGATGGCACGACTACCAGGCAG